TTTTTTTTTTTTCTTTTTGCTTGTCTCTTTGATCTGGCACCATGAGCCTCGGGGCCCTCGAACAAGGCCGCCTTTCTTTTGGCTCATGCGTCCGTCTAGAGGCTAACCTCCATACTTAGCCCAGGGCATATGTAGCCCAGGGCATACTGGGCCTTACCTCATCCTCTCTTTGTTGGGCAGAATGATGTGGAGGCGACCCGAGCCGCCCCCGTGATGAACTCCGTGAAGGCGGAGTCGTCGGCAGCCGCGGTGCCTATCGCTGCCGGAGCGGACGACGCGGAGATGAAGAAAGTGGTGGAGAAGTGCAAGAGACTGCAAGCTGAGATGAACAAGCTGAGTGAGGAGAACCGGCAATTAAAGGTTGGATATGATTGGTAACTAATTGTAGTCAAACACTTGGATTTTTAATGCTAATGCATTCCACACAGAATAAAACTGAAACAAAGTGTGAATAGGGATTTACTGTCAAATATAATTGTATGAGCCTGTGAGTACACACCAACATCATACTACTCTGGTGGTTTTGAGTGTGTTTGTTTCAAACTCTGTAGAGGCTTGTGACAGCAACATGTTTGAATGCAACACAGCATGTTGTGTGGGTGTGTTTTGCTGGGTACTTCTCACCTCTGGCTCTTCCAGAGCGTTGAACTGAGGATGAGAGAGGTTTGTTAGAGCAGTCAGAGTGGAAACATGAATTTTGTGTAGTTGTATGAATGCAGATTTTTATTCTAATGCACGCTTCACAACAACCAGGCAGTGAGAAGGGACCGCTACACTGAGGGCCTAGCAGTCAGTCTCAGCATTAGCAAGGGAAAGACGCGTCCCTCTGCTGGAAAACAGCAGGATGAACGCACCTCTTCTGTTTGAAGAATGCAAGATGATATGCAAAAATCAGTTGAAATAAAAGATTAAAATGTATGGATTTGCATGTTATTGCTCTGTTTGTGGTATAAGCTAGATAAGTGACACAACAGGAATTTTCTGAGACAAACTGGAAAAGGGAGGGACCGTTTTCAGGGTATTGGACACTCATTTGAACTATTAGATGACTTGTTGGCATGTATGTTGGAGTATGACAGGATGTACATCTAGTTTGATGCTCTTGTACTTAGAAGTGGGAAAATTACACATTGTCTTCTCCACAGTGAGGTCACAAAGTAAAGAGAAATTTCTCAGTTTTCTGCCAGTTTCAGTTGTCATTAGTGACTTCTCTGCAAAGATATAAGAACAGATTTTCAGCATCTGCTCTCTCACTGTGTGAGATGAGGGGAATGGCCTTGGAAAGTGTGTCTTAGAGTACATATGTTAAAAGGCTGAACAAGCTCAAAATGCGCATCCAAGTTGCAAATTTAACTTTTTTGACTTTGGAGATGGTTTTACAGCAGCCCAGCAGGACGCTGGACACCTTTTTTCTCTCTGTTTACATATACAGCATTGTTCCTTCCTTAGTATCACTATGAAATCCTCCAACTCGACTGCTATGTTGGAATATTGTGGTTGCTTATTTCGTAGTCCGTCTCTCAACAATGGGGAGTGAACCATGAGTTTAAGTGCAGTAGTCACTGGGACAGAAAACTGCAAGTCTGGGCTCGAAGTTTGAGAATTTCTGTAAACGTGCTTGTGTTTTACTAATCTTATTACCTTATTCACTCCTCTTCTTTATTTGTTTTCTGTTCTTTACACAGGACGAAGGTTTGAGAATGAGAAAGATGCCCCGCTCAGACCACATGACACCAAACTCGACCAGCCTGCTCGGTCGGGAAGCCAGCGCCGCCTCCCTACCATCCCTCCTCGTTGTCATAGCAGCCATCTTCATCGGATTTTTCATAGGGAAGTTCATCTTGTAGACTGGGAGAAGCCAGCCGTATCCCACGCCTCGGCTCTGGAATTTAAAAAAAAAAAAAAAAAAAAAGGAAAAAGGCCTGGAAAAACCGAGAAGTCTTTCTGTTGACTTTTGCCATATCATTGGTAGTGTGGCCTACAGTGAACACATCTGTACAGTATCATTTGAAGGCACCGCCTTTTTACAATCTCACACAGTTAGTATGCACAGAGTTGAGTGAGGAAAGGCGACAAAAAGCGATTGCTCCCTCCCCTTCTTCTTTGTTGTTTTTTTTTTTTCTTTTTTTTTTCTTTTTTTTTTTTGCCTGTATAATCCAGATATCCAGTGTGGTGGGACAATGAAAGTTGTATACTATCAGTCAACATGGAAGATGCACCTAGAGTTAACCATGGGCAAGAAGCACTCAAAAGAATAATATCTCTCTCCCCCTTCCCCCCCCCTCCCTCTACTTCTGTTTTTAATAGGAATTGAATGGAATGTTAGGTGTCTTGTAAATGTCGTTTTAAATCCTTTTAAACAAAAAAGGAAAGAACTTCCATCATAAAGACGTTGCTACCTGTTGCTGGATTGCCTCTGAAGTAAAATCTGTTCGGTTTGTAATTTCTTCTACTTGTGTTGGAATGTTCAGGCCCAGCTGGGGATATAGGTGCCTCCTTCTTGTACATTTGTCTTGATCTCACAATACAAATACAGACTTATTATTATTATTAATTATTATTGTTATTATTATTATTGCTACTACTACTATACAAATCGTATATCCTTCTGAGGCAGTTATTGACTGAAATAACGTTTCCATTCTTAAAGTCCTGTCAAAGGTATTCAACATTGAAAAATAAAAATGAAAAATGTGGTTTTCATAGCGGTTCTTTTCCTGCTTATTGTTACTGCCAATGTTTTATTTTGTGTTTGTACAATGCAGTACAGTATATGAATTACCCTGCGTTTCTAAATTTGCTTTATATCTCTGCTTCATAGGTATTGCAGTGGATATATATGTATATATTTTGATGTAACCTAGATTGGTCAGATGAATCAAGATGGAAGTTTTGGGCTGTACTTTAGTTAGCGAGGAAGGGATTGTTGTACATTTCTTGTGGTTTGAGCTCCCACAAACTAGGCGCTGTCACTGTCGGTTACGCCAAGGTAATTTTATGCGTTTCTGGTACATTATAGTATTCCAGATGAGGGGGGAACATCTGTGGTAAGCTTGTTCCTAAATCTTTTTATTTTATTTTTTTGTTAGCCTGATTGGTAAAATGAGAAAGCATTCTTTATAAGATGCTGATTATTTTATTTTTTTCTTTTTGCACAGAGTTGAAACCTACAATTATTCTGTTAAAGCGCAAAGTGACGTGATTCACTGCAGCATTGGTAAAAGACCACTTTTTTTTTTCTCTCTCTCCCTCTCTCTCTGTTTGGCGCTAGAGAGTTGGAGAATTGCATGTTAGACTTTGGCTGTGTGACTATAGTGTTAAGAGACGAGCTGAAAGTTGCGTAATTGTATGCTTGAAGTACAGAGTGGCCCCTTTGAATGAGACGTTGCTAGTACTGTTTTTGTCTTCATTCTTTATGGTATAGATTCAACAAGATGCTGGGATCATTTCTCAGATTCTCAGACATATTGAATGATTGTATTGCATAGTTGCTGCTCATTTGTCAGCTGCACATCCATGATGTGAATCTCGTTCCACCACATCCCAAAGGTCACTGTTGTTATTGTTACTGTGGTTAAGGTTGCCTTCATTATCCGCTTGAAGCAGTCTGGTCATTCTCCTCTGACGCCAACAAGCCATTTTTACCCAGAGAACTGCCGCTCGCTGTACGTTTTTTGTCTTTTCAGACCATTATCTGTAAACTCTAGAAATGGCTGTGTGGGAAAACCCAGCGACTATGTTCAAAGTTGTAAATCAACTTTCTTCTCCAATCTAGTGCTCTGTTTGAAGTCCAGCAGGTGTTCTTACCCATGCCATGAGTTGCTGCTATATGATTGGCTGTAGTAATGACCAATTATACCACCAATTATTTTAAGCTGTGGGTAGCTTCTCCCATCAGCAGCACAATCAACCATATTTATGATTTATCCTTTCAGGTTTGAGCATAGTTAATTTGTTGCTATAACAATACGAACATGTACTGGCTTAAAATGAGCGGTGAGTTGGAACACTCGATATTTGGCTCACAGATGGAGGATGTGGCTAATGTAAGTAATATGTCACGGTGTAACATCACTCGAAATGCGTGTACATGTTTCTATTCAATAGAGCTAAGGTTTTTGTCATCACCTGAATGGATTTTTTTTTTTTTTCTCCCCATATTTTTTGGGGGGTTAAATCCTTTGTTTTTCCACCTTACTCATTGCGCACAACAGAAGACCTTATCAAATGTGAGTAAATGCTGCTGCTTCACAGTAACTTTGTACTGAGAATATGTTACAAACCTGATCATATATGTATATGTCTGAGGATAAATTTCGCCTCCATCTGCTCCTTTAAAGCTGCTCAGTGGACAGTTTGTCCTTGGCAACTTCCATGTAAGACTCCCTCGTACATCCACTTTGCAAACCCATAAAACTGGGGCTTTTTAAATGCCCTGCTGGGAACCATAAAGTGTAACAAAGGGATTAACAAAAATATGTTCCCTGTTAAATGTTCAGTAAGCTACAATATACAAAATCTGGCTGTAAGAGCAGTAATGAACACGAAGGAGTATCAAACCTTTGTAATCTCATACATGTATCCAGTTATTGAGACATTTCTTGGAGCCCGTTAAAGCTTCTTTAGCCTGGGAACACTGAGCAAAACGATGCACTATTAATGATGACACACAAAACCTCAAGCTTAAATTTGACAGAAGCATGCTGGGAAACTCCAATCCTTGTCCATGACCGAGAGGGAGATCGAAATGACAACATATGATAATGATGAGTGAAACCCCATGAGCTTAATTAAGGCTGAAATAAAGATCCCACTGGAGGAGTGGAGTTTTGATACTGAGCCACACATGAGGACTTTAATCCCATTAAGGCATTTAGAATTTATTCCACCCTCAGGTTCAAAAACCACCTGAAAGAAGCAACAAACACTAATCCCTTTGTTTCTTATATTACAGAGGCCTTTGCTAGAAGACCACAGTTACAACTCCACGTTGTTGACGGGTAACACAGCTGACTACAGTGATGCATCATCACAGTCGATCCTTTGTGATTGCACAAACATCTTATTTGTGTTAGACGCAGCAAGAGTCTTCGGTAATGTCACTGAAATGATTATATACAGTAGATTTTCTTCTTCACGCAGCCACAGTGGAAACCAAACAATTAAGATGTGACTAAAGGGAAAATTCTCAGCTTTAATTCAAAAAGCTTGAAGAGATGAGACATTTTTATACACAGTCCCATTTTCAGAGGCTCAAAATTAATTAGACAAACAATTTTTAATATAAGGTTAGTTTCTAACACTTAAATAAAAATCTTTTGGAATCGATGGCTGCCTGAAGTCTAGAACTCATATATAGCTAAATGCTGATTCCTCTCTTGGCGTGCTCTGCTAGGTCTTTACTGCAACATAACTTCAGCTGCTGCTTATTTGGATTTCTCTGCCCTCATTATGCACGGTTAGGTTGAGATCAGGTGACGGAGTTGGAGCCTCACAAATATCACATTTCTTTACCTTAAAGAAAAAACTTTTGGAGTGATCAGATCAACAATGTTGTGCGTTCCTGCCAGCACTGCAAAACCAACCCAAGACTTTAAGCCTAGCAATGGCCTCTTTCAGTGCAGTGTCTCCGGGAGTTCTTGTGAACTAATACCAAATGCAAGTTCTGCACTTGTAATGGAATAATCGGGAAACAAGCATCACCTGGGCAGCAAATTGTCCAATTACTTTGCAACTTTGCTTTTCATTAAACCTCAGAGCTGAAGTCAGCACTTCAATCACACATTAGTTTGATTTTAAAAATCCACTGAGTTGGTTTACAAAAGCAAAACAAAACATTTTAATTGTCCAAAATGTCTGGGTCTAACTGTAGTTATTTTTGATTGTAGAGATGTAAAGTTTCTGCTCTTCACCGATGAGGTATCATAAGCGTGAACAGTTAATTATGATCAAATTGAAACACATCCAAGTGCTTGTTGATTTCTCACTGAAAAATAGCTTAAGTTTCCAGAATGGATGGAGTGAAACAAACTAGCATACTGAAGTATTACCCTTTAAAAAGAGAAAAACAGTTTTTAGTGACTGCAAATCATAGAATTGTCATTTTATTACACAATTAAGTAGATTTCCCAAAATTTAAGGGTTTAATTTTATTTTAAGAAAGGATAATCCTCTTAACCTTGACAAATGAGTTCCTATTTATGCTTGAAAAGGGAGTAACGTAGTAAAAATCTTTCCTGTAGTACTAGCCCAGAAGCTGTAGTTCAATAAATCCATGGATTTCCAGTTCCATTAATAGCAATTAGAAATGTAAAATTACTGGCAGTATAATTTCAGAGCTAACATTAAATACATTGCAGGGATGTTTTAGGTTGTTTTTCCAAGAGAAATTTTTTCCAGATGTCCAGTTTCCATCTCATATGGATTTCACTGCTTTCATATTTGTTTTAAATAGAAGTGGACCTCTGAATGTTTATTAAATGTTACAGCCATTTGATCACAGGTTTTATAGACTCAACAATTAATCAAGAAAGTAACTGGCAGAAGATCTAAACCTGCCTTTAGATCTTTGCGTATAGTCAGAGAGAAATAAAACAGTCATCGTTCACAGTTGCAATAGATTGATAAAGAACCAAAATATCCACTTTATTAGTAGTATAGAGAATGACTTGGACAAACTAAAGTAGCTCTCACTTGAAGTGATCTCCTGCATTCTCGTATGTGGTAGTTTGTCACTTCTCCAGGTGTCGTTCCCACTGTGAGCATTGCGTAACTACAAAACCGCCTCGTTGGACTCAAGGTCGAGTGTCTGCCAGCGAGGAAGCAGCTGTCTGAGCGGTGAGGGAACAAAAACATCTCTCTAGATTACATGGAGGGTAACTGTTGGCACATGAAAGCGTTTTATTTCATTCAAGACAAGCGCTTGGTCATTATTTGGAATAGGAGGCCAATACCTGCTGCCGACTTCACCATACTTCAAGGCTATATGTCGAAAAGGGAAAAAAAATAAAAAAATTCTAACACGTTAAGTACATTTTATTGTAAACGGTGACGAGCGTGTCCTCCGATGAGTGGGGAAGAGCACTGTCAAAATTTCACTGTCGAAAATGTTTCCTTGTATGAGTTTCTCTATGAAGGTGGTGGGAAGAAAAAAAAAAAAAAAGCATGATCTAGTCAAAGCTAAATAGATCATATAAAACAGTCGCAGGTAAATAGATCATATATAACATATTCTCATGTCTGTGTGTGGATATAAAGACATCTTTGTATGTTTGTATAAACACAGGTCAGTCTTTGGTTCCACTCTAAAGTGCAGTTTCTGTGGTGCAGCGGTCTCAAGTCTTTGGTAAAGAGTTCAGAGGTTTAGGGACCAGTCTTTATGCTCCTTTATTCATTAAAACAACAAATGTAAACTTAGTCTACCAATGCAGTCTCTGTGACCCCCTCTGGGTCTCTGATGAATCCACACTCCTCTTTTGTGTCTTTGTGGATAAAATACTCAACCTGCTCTCTAGCTTTGCCAGAATAGAAGTTGAGCAGTAACGAACGCGGCGATGGCCAGTGCGGCGCGTTTCTGGCCGCCTCTGTGCCATCCCGTGCAGCCGTTGGGGTGCAACGGAGGCCTCTCTGGGTCATCCCTTTGGCTGGAATCTGATGGCTGGCTGCTGGATGAACACTGGACCAGGGGCATCTGGTAGGACGTGGCTCGCTTCTCCGGGCGGTCCGGACTGGAGCCGTCGCTGGGGCGCTGGCCGTTGTAGAGCAGGTAGCGTCCATGAGCGTCCTGCTCCATGCGGAACAGCTCATACTCAGTGTGCGGCAGCCGGATGCCCAGCGCCACACAGCCATTGGTTAGGGTGACATCCTGCTCCACACCGACCTGCCAAGACCCCTGCACTCCACACTCATTACCACTGAAGACATTGAGGAGGGATGTGGTGGCCACGTCCATGGGAGTCACTCTCATGTGGTTCACTAAAAGAAGATAACATAAGACCTTTAAAGCGATCTATTGTGCTTATTTTAAGCCTTTTTATTATTATTACTACTAGAGTAGCTTTGCATGATTCACAGCTCAAAACACACAAATTTATCTCGCACTGAGTGGGTGAGGAAGCCCCAAATTTCATCCTTTTTCAAAATGTTTTATTTCCCCTCTTTTTAAGCCAACTTTGCTCAAGCAGGTCTGATCAGCAGGTGGTGGAGCTGCTGTTCCCGCAGCCAGAGCTGTGAGCCTGATATGAGCAAATGATGGATATCAGCTCTCACTGACATCACACACAGCCAAATTCTCTAAAAGTTTTAGAGCAGTCTGAAGCCCTGAACTTGTCTCAAGTATTACTTGTTGAAACCCTGGGCCATTTCTTGTTTTCACTGTGATCTAGAGCAGGGGTCCCCAACTCCAGGCCTCCAGGGCCCGTGTCCTGCAGGTTTTAGATCTCACTCTGGGTTTACACACCTGAATCACATGATTAGTTCATTACCAGGCCTTTGGAGAACTGCAAGACATGTTGAGGAGGTAATTTAGCCATTTGAATCAGCTGTGTTGGATCACGGACACCGCCCCTCGAGGTGTGGAGTTGGGGACCCCTGCCATAGAATAACATTGTTGCGCTCTGTGCACAGTCAGTATACAAGATAGGCATCGCTTTTTAGAAAGTCAAGTCTACTAAAACTCCATATCTTTGAGGTTGCCCCATCTTTAAGAAATGTGGGAAAGAAACAAAGAACTACTTTCTTTATCTAAAAAGTGACGCTAACACAGAAGGGACACACTCACTCATCATATCAGGTTTAAACAAAAAAACAACAAGATCTTGAGGCCTCAAAGTGAGACTTCACAAACCAATGGTCGATATTAGGGTAGGTACATCCATCTTTCATACAGCCTGTCTCCAAATGGTAGATAGACAGACTTGAGTTTTAAATGACGTGTCATTGAACCAGTTTATTCTGCTTGTTGAAACAACCTTGGTCTTATTTTTGTCCTTCCCTTCTATCGATTGTGAAAACACTGTGTCTACGAAGTCAATAGGGATCACATGGATCATAACACGACTACCAGTTAATTAAACAAGCAACAGTTCAAACACTGCTCAAAGTGAGCACGCCAAAAATGTTAGGAACTGGTAGAGGAACTGTGTTTAAACTACACTGTATCAAAATCAGGGTTTGGTAGTGTTTTTAAGAATCAGCATTACGGTAAAAATGCAATTACACCACTAAGTTACCTTTGAAGACAAAATCTGTTCCGCCCATGACGCGGGTTGAGTGAAGCCCTCGGCTGTAGCGGCCACGGGCGTAGATGGTGAAGGTGGGGTGTTTACAGATGGGGTCCGAGTAGTGGTAGTAATGGCCCTCCCAGGTGTGGTTGTTATCGTGGAAGATGAAGTGGCGGGTCAGGAAGAGGACCTCCGGGCGAACTTCGCAGCGCTGGCTCACCCACTGACCGTACAGCCCGACGGTCAGGTCGGCCCGCGGCGGCAGGATGGGAGGGTGGAACTCGTCCGAGCGGTAGATGATACGACAGGCGATGCAGCTGTGGTCGTGGTTCTAAAGAGAAAAATAATAATTAATTTAGCTCATAACAACTGATTTCATTTTACCAATAGTGAGTTTAGACAAAAAAAGTCATAGCACTAAAGCACTAAAGATTATTGAGATTTTTCACATGACTAAAGTCATATTTACTGAAAACATACAAACTAGGACTATAAATCTCAGTCAGTCAAGCTTTAGTCACAATTGTAGTTTGGCTTCCCACAGTTAAATGAGCATAATCGAGTGATATAGAAGATACATGCTCTGCTATTTGGAATGAAAATAAATAAATAAATAAATAAAACTTCCTAAATCACTGCCTGATGACGTGCCTTCGTGTGTCATCACAGCTGTTTCCTGCAGAGCTCAGCTGGATGTTTCTTTGACTAGTCTGGATGAGTAACAATGCATTCAAAGACAGATATACAACAGAAATCAGATGTCTGGCAAGGCGGAACGTGAAGAGCTTGTCCCTCAAAGAGGATCATGATTCTGTTTTTGGAAAAAATCGTACAAAAAAAAAAAAAAAAGAAAGAGTTATGTGTGTCTACACCGCAAAAGAACACAATTTATTTAACTGCCTGAAGATACCACAAACTGCAATAACATTAGTGCATGAAGGGCAAAAAACAATCCATGAATTGTTGCCAACACCGATTGTCCAACAGATCTCCATAAAAACGAGCCTGCGCAGCTGGTCACTATATCCACCCAGCTCACAAAGATGCACTGAAATCGGCACCCAATCACATTTCGCCAAAGCTGTGTGTCCACTAAACAGAATAACAGATGTCTCAGGAAAATTGTCAACGTACTGGACAAAAGATCTGTCATCCCCCCCAAGTAGTTATTTTTGGCAAAACCTGGATTATCTGCAAAACGTTACATGAGGGCATCCATTGTGTTTGCATTGACAGATCGTGCCAATAATGTGCAAACAAAAATGCCAACATGCCAAAGATGGCGAGGTCTGCTAGCAAAGAAACAAACGCTGATTTGCAAATGTCAAGAATAACATTTAAAGGCTCCAGATGCCTGAAATACAAGTACTCAGTATAATCTTATAGCTAACAATAAAGTCTTTGCTGTTCTCTGCGGGATATACCATGTGATTAAAGGGATGTACACACAGGAAGAGACTAACAGCAGTGTGGCCTCCAGAGGCCATTGGATGTCAAAATGGATTCTGGCGACTCATAAGTGATGACAGTCCAAATAACCATTGGCTAAACTAAGCGAGTGGGTACTGTGTCCTGAGTTAAACCGATTCTGAGTGGAAGGATTGGTGACTGAAGCTATAAAATAAAAACAAAAAAGGGGGAGAAAAACAGGCTGTTTTTGCAATGATACTGTAAAGTGGAGAATATATTAGAAGGTTGTCTAAATATTCGAGACCTTAAATGTCTAACCAGTGACAAACTGTCGGACACAAAGCACTGGAAGATGAGCCAATCTCTTCATATGTGCTTAATATGCTGTTTGTAAAGCCATTTTTACATTTTTTACTGTCACAGTTTCCGTTGAGCAAACTTTTTTCCCTGACGGAGACAAGACGATGTAAACCCTTGAGAGGAATCAAAGAGTAGACATATGGCGCTATTTCACATTTGATGTCAATAAAAATAAGCCATTTTCAATTCAATTCAATAAAACTTTATTGATCCTGAAGGTTGACCCCGAAGGAAATTGGTTTTGTAAACCATGTGGAACAACTCTCACTGGTAAAAACACTTATATGTATTTACTCTACTACAATCTTATGATATTTGCTTGACTAAAAGTAAAACAACTGATCCTTAAAATAGAACTAAAACTAAATGACGTTTTAGTCAAAAGACTGAAATGAAATCAAGATTTGCTGTTAATACTGACACGGTTTATATGCCATTTTTGGATGTGTGATAATCATGGTGATAGTGTAGGATCGTGTGAACAAGTCTGATCTGCAACCATCTTGCAACAGTTTGCCTTCAAAGTAAAAGTTGCACTTTATGAAACATGTAGCCAACAGTAACAGTAAAAGTTGTTACTTTAATGGCAAATTTTCTCAATTTCTGGTTTACATTGCACTTTTTCCAAGTTTTACTTCCTCTGGGCTAGCAGTTAGCAAGTATTTGAAGACAATCATAAAAACTACAGAAGACAGTGACACTCTACTAGCAACCAAAAGAATCCCAAGAAGCCTTCTTTGAATCCAGTTTCCACGACAGTCAGTGGTCACATCACATCTAAATTGGTACACAACATGACGTCATGTGAAAAATCTCAATAATCAGAACTCCACTCATCATGTCTGAGTTCAAATCACGAGATGACAATGGTGAAAACACTGGTGGTGAGTGATTTCACAGTGGTTACGTCTGTGTTTTATACCGTCTATAGTCCGACTGCATCCAACATTTACATTTATACAGGTGGGTGATGGTGAGAAGATTTCAGGGCTCCACAAGAAGTGGTCATAAACAAAAAGAAAAAGTGAACCATTTATGAGACAGTCAGCTTATTATAGTGCAAACTGTTCACGAACTCAAAGTTTAGCCTGCTACTCAAACAAAAGACAAAACAGAAGTATGTTCACTGAAATCGGTTTGTCCTGAAAACCTTTCATGACATCAGCACATTGTGTCATGAAATTCACACACAGAACTACTGGAATCTGTTCGGAGGAGAGTAAGGAAACTATTTCATTCAGTCTGACCCTCTGGAGTGTTTGGAGCCAAAGAGAACACATTGTTTCACAGTACAACACAGATGTCGGGACTACTTAAAGCCATTACACAGAAAACAGCATGCTGAGTTTTAATGCCCCACACACACACACACACACACACACACACACCGTTTGTACATGCATAAAAAAAACAGTTAATCATATTCAGTTAATATCACTAGTCAGGTGGAGCAGCGTGTGTCCACAGACAGGACGGCCGGGGCTCTCCAACAGACTCCGAGCTGGAAACTACATCCCATATTCCACAAAATCTCTTCCAAAGACTGAACTCCAGGGAACCAATTGAGTTTTTTGTTATTTGAGGGTGGTCAAAATTTAAGACCTGACCTTCTCAACTCAATCGCTCTTTTTCCCAGACAACATTATGTCTGCATGAGATTTATGGGGAGTTTTAAAAGAAAGAAAGAAATGGAGAACGGTAAAATGAGGAGAAAAAGCTGGAGTATCACCACATCCTGCAGATGAGATAATCCCACTGCAGCTCCATAACCGCCTCAGAGCGAAAGGTTAATGGGACGACTGGAAGGGAGGCCTCCCACCAGAATCCACCAGTGTATGTGTGAGAGAACAGTGTGTTTTTAAAAGCTGTGCACTATGTGTGTGTTTATGTAAGAGTTGCATATGGAGAGAGGAAAATGCAGCATGTGCGTATATTTTAGCATATATATGTGTGGACATAAGAAAAAGAGCTGGAATCCGGAGAGTTTCAGTCGCAGGTGTGGAAAATGTTTTGTATCTGAAGGGACTCCGAGCCCATAAAATATAGACTTCCTGTCTGGCCTAACAATGAATATGTCCTCCTACTGATACCAATCTGTCCCATATATCATGACACTACCAATGATTTAAACCAGTGCAGGGTTGTTTTTTTTTTGCTTCTTTTCCTGATAATGTTATCTGAAAATATAAATCAAACAAAATGACACTACAAGCTCAGAGTTTCTTCCAGAAAAGTTGTGAGTGGGGGGCTGGAGGTGCTTCATTAATATAGCAATATTTAACTGTTGTAATCGTAATCATCAATTATGAAGGAAAAAAAAAATATGCTCACTTTGGACAATGGATGAAGAGAGAGATGGACCAGGGAGTTTATTTCCCACATCCACTGCATAAAGAGTAAAGTGCATAAAGGAGAGCATTAAATCACAGATGGCCTCATTCACAAAGGATTATGGGTAATTCATCCTCTCTTGATTAGTGGACATAACTGTACAGATATCAGCTCTGCAGCTAATGATTTAAACTGCCTGGTGAGACGGTGAGGTGTACCAGGGAAAATGTTCAGGAGCAGAGGGAGTGAACGTGGATGAGTTCAGATACTTGGGGTAAATCATCCAAAGCAACAGACAGTGCACAGACAGTGCACAAGAGAGGTGAGGAAGAGAGCGCAGCATCAGGGGTGATTTAAGACAGAAGGATAGCGGCAAGAGTGAAGATGAAGGTTTACAAGATGGTAATGAGATCCGCTACGGTGTATGGTTTGGAAACGGGGGGCAGAGTTGGAAAGTCAGAGGTTTCAAATGAAAAGAATTTGCCTGGGAGTGCAGCTCAACAACCGCTTATTTTTAAATCCGGGATGTACAGGATTAGAAATTAGCATATCAGAGGAACGGCTCAGGCTGCTTTAAAGAAGCAATGCAGAGATGGTTTGAACATGTGCAGAGTAGGAGAATGCTGAACATGGAGATTTCTGGATACAGTGAAGGAGGACATGCAGAGGACACTAGGGAGAGGGTTAGATGGAGGCAGATAGTCTTCTATGGCCACCTGTGAATCTGTAATAATCATAAGAAAAATATGAGAATATGAAAAAGATTAAACTAACCAAAAATGAATCTAAATTTTGTGTAAAAATAAATGAATAAACCCAGTGCACAGGTGTGACAGGGCTCATCTTAGCCAGAACAAGGACAAGCCATGCTTGTACTCGTCCTCATCTAAACAGTGTAAATGCAGTTAGTTCAGTGTTCAAAGAGACTTTCAGTAGAAGACTGAAATAACACCAGAGTGTAAGAGGCTGCGTTTCTTGACCAAAATTTGGAATTTTTATTTGAAACTCTGATTTTAGTTACAATTGTTGACAATGACGAGCATTAAGAAATTCTGTACGTAATAATAACGGTAGTGTCATAAAGCATGTGTTAAATGTTTATAAACTATTTACTGACAAACAAACTGGTGGTGGTGGAGAATATTTGATTGAATATTTAATTGTTCAATTAAAAACTACATTTAAAATAAAAGGCTGCTTCATCAGAGTAGTTCCCTTTTATTTACTTGT